GCTCTCACCCACTGTGCACGGCTGGCTCCTAAGCCAGGGCTTCTCGGTGCCCGCACGACTGGCCTTTGCAGCAGGATAGCTCTTTGTGCAGGGGACTGTCTGGTACATGGTAGGATGTTTTGGAAGCATCCCTGGCTTGTCCACTAGACAGCAGTTGTGACAACCAAAATCACCCCTAGATATTGCAACCTCTGGTTGAAAACCACTGCTCTACCCAATGGTACTCAAAATACGTCCCCAAGCCAGAAGCATCAACATCCCCGGGAATTTGTCAGAGAGGTAAATCCGGCGGCCTACCCAGACCTCCGGAATAGGAACTTCCAAGGGAAGAGGCCAATAATCTGCACGCTAACCAATTTCCAGCTGGTTCTGGAAGCTCGTTTCAGAACTATTCACCTAGATTCAAGGCCACCAACTCGGCTCCTTTTCTAAGTCGCTGTGACTCTGGGTCCCGAAGACCAACCCTTGCTTCTGATTCACCTGCCTTGTCCATTTAACTCGCCTATAATCCCCTCCCTAGCTAGGCGTTACGGCTGCTTCTCGCCTGGTGCTGCAGGCTGCGGAGCAGGCCTGGTGTCACTAGAGCCCTGGGAGCTCGAAGGCAGGCAGCATCTTTCTCTAGAGACCAAGAGAAAGAAGACCTCCATCCAATGGACAACTCACCGGTCAAGTGACCTTTCAGAATTTTTCCAGGGAACTTTTCAACCAAGGTGCCTCACACATAGAATCCCTCAGACTGTCCCAGGACAGTGTCCATAAGCAGAGTCCACACGACAACTGGCCCTTCAGCACAATCCACGGCCAGAATAAACTTCTCGAATCCTCTTTCGCTCTCACTCAAAAAGAGTGTTAGCCAATCTAAGTAGGAATTTTTTAGTCGGACTTCCTGGTTCCCTGGAAGGTGACGGGGACACAGGTTTGGAGCGAGCCTGCCCACCAACAGTTACATGACCTGAGACAAGTATGTCACTACCCTCTGTGAGCCTCAGTTCCTTGGCCTATAAAATGGAAATGAAAAACTAACATCAGAGTACTGCTGTGAGGATCACTAAAATTATGTACCAAGCTCCTGGTTTACTACACAAAAGCAATTACTACCAGAACTTTGTTTTAATGAGATATTTGAGGGTTTTACAACCATTAACTCACCCTCAGCTTGCTGCCCAAAGCAGGCATTCCAGACCTGGGACCGCCCTGGGCACAATAAGCAGACACTTAGGTAATCCTATTCAGCTCACCCAAGACTCTGTATTCCTTATGCTGTAGTGCCTTGCCCTGGCTGGTGTGGCTCAGTGGGCAGAGCGTTGGCCTGCGGACTGAAGGATCCCGGGTTCGATTCCAGTCAAGGGCACATGCCTGGAATCCCCAGTAAGGGGTGTGCAGGAGGCAGCTGATCAATGATTCTCTCTCATCATTGATGTTTCCATCTCTCTCTCTCCCCCTCCCCCTTCCTCTCTGAAATAAGTAAAATTTAAAAAAAAAAAGATGTAGTGCCTCTTGCCCTCACACCCTCACCTGTGGCCCTCACCTACAGGGTTGGGGCTAAATGACTTCAAAAGTCCCCTTTGCACCTGCAATTCTAGGAGGATTATCCAGAGCAGCACCAGGGGCACTGCTGATTGAGCACCAGCTGGAAAAAGCTTTGAAGTCACCAAGAAAATAAACTATATTCACACCCAGAACGGTGCTCTTTACAGGTGTGCTTGCGTGTGCAACACCTGTTATTAACACCTCTAACTCATCTCACTGCTTTTTTTTTTTTTTAAATATAGTTCATTGATTTTTTACAGAGAAGAAGGGAGAGGGATAGAAAGTCAGAAACATCGATGAGAGATCGATCAGCTGCCTCCTGCACGCCCCCCAGTGGGGACGTGCCCACAGCCAAGGCACATGCCCTTGACCAGAATCGAACCCTTGAGTCCGCAGGCCAACGCTCCATCCACTGAGCCAAACCGGTTCAGCCTCATCTCACTTCTTGCCAACAACTCGTTTCCATGGTAACAGCCCTTCCACTCATCAGACCACCCTCAATGAACCACCCCACTGCCTCTCTTTCTTGCCCAAGGAAGTCAGAGCAGAAGTGGAATCCAGAGGAAACGATATAAACAAGTTCAAGGTGGGCACAGGCCCCCTGCGCCCCTATACCTCCAAATTCCACACCTGCTCCCCTCCCCTTCAAGGCCCCCTCAGTGCTCCCACCTGCCCGGTCCGGCCGCCACGTCCCCGCGCTCACCATGTTGGAAATGCTGCGGGTGTTGGCAGGGTTCAGCATGACAATCTCAGTGGTGATGTGGCCCTCCACCGCCTCCGTCATCTCGTCCACGGTGCAGTTGATGGACGGGTCATAGGTCTTGAACCAATTGTCCGCGTACCAGCCAATGAGGAACCACACATACTTCTTCCCGAAGAGCCGCTCCTTGTACACCTGGGTGCAGAGGAGGAGGCTGGGTCTGTCACTGTTTTCTGGTCCTACCTCGGATGTCACTATCCAGCCTCGGGGGAATCAGAGAAGGGCCGAGAAATGGAGAGAGAAACCTACAGGTTTGGGGCGGGGAGTGGGAGAGGCTCGCCGCCGCCTCCTAAGCTCCTCCCAGTCTCTGGAGTCTCCCAGCCCGTAGGGAGGACTGGAGCTACAGGCCCCCCGGAAACAGGAAGTGGTGGTAAAATGAGAGCTGGAGAGTGTCATGTGTGTGAGAAGCCAAAGATGGAGTCAGGGCCAACCGCCGGGGACATCATGTGAGCCATCCCCTCAGACCATCTGCTGTCAACTTCAGCAGAGCCCGCCCAGGCCCTCCCTCTCCAGACTCCAACGCCACCTCGCAGAACACTTTGCGGGCTTCAGTCTCATAGAAAAGTCCCACGATGATGCGGGCGTCCTGGCGCTGCAGGAAGGAGGGAGAAACAGAGTCCTGAGCGGGTGAATGTCACCTGGAGCGTGGAGACAAGCTTCCAGGAGAGGCTCCCGTCTCACAGAACCGAGGTGAGGTGCCTGACAAGGCGTCGGCCAAGGCCAGGGGGCGCCTATTGCAATCTCTACGTGTATCAAATCCACACGCTGAGGCTCACACCCGTCAATGTCAGGTACATCTCAATGCGAAAACAAAAACCCAACATCCCCCGACCTGGTTCTTCTCACCAACTCAAACTGTGCCCCTGGCCATTCTCGGCCACCCCACCTTCAGGTTCTTGACGGGCACAGCTGGGTCTGAGAAGAAGCTCTGGCGGAAAGTAATCTCGATTCCAGCCTCCTTCACGCGCTCCTCCAGGTCATCCAGCGTCTTCGGCAGGAACGAGAACAGAAACACAGGTGCACAGTGGGTGAAGACCAGAGATCTGGCTGGGATCGCACACCCACAGGGAACAGCGTGAGCCTCCCCTGCCAACATCCTCTGCCCTGGGCGGGAGTGGTCAGAGGACGGCACCTGGAGCCTCAGGAGGGAGCTTCCAAGCAAGGAGGCGCACAGGGAGCCCCCTGCACCTCTGTGTCCGACAAATCACCCCACTCCGCCCTCTCACCACTGACAGCAAACTTGGGGGAAGGAAACAGGAGCCATAAAAGACAAGGCAGGGCCTGGATAGGTGGGACGATGTCAACCTCAAGAGGCACGTGAGCAGACAGTCAAAGGACAGAAAGGAGGGTCCTGAATCACTAAGAGATGGGGGGGGGGGGCGTTTAAAGGGCCATGAAAGTGAGAGTAAAGAGAGGATTCAAAGAACATAATAAAGGAGAAGAAACCAACTGTCTTCTCTCCCTCAGAGCTCCCCTCCCCTCCACCTGGCCTCGTCAGCATCCCTGAGTCAGCTACCTGACCCATGTTCATACGTCTCTGTCTGTCCCTGTTTCCCCTTTCTCTCCCTCTCTCTGTCCCTGTCTCCCCTTTCTCTCCCTCCCTCTCCCTCGCAGTGCCTGTGCCATCTTCATAGCTCCACCCTCTGTTCCCATTCACACACACACCAGCCCTTGGAGTGCGCAGACCCTGCTGCCTCCCAGGGTTCCAACCACACATGTTCTTTATTATGTCCAGACTCTGGAGTGAACCTACTTTGGTAGAACGGGGTCACTTGGGGACCACCTGTCTGGGGAGCAAGGCATCAAAGGGGGAGCCCTAAAACCACAAAGTTGAAGGATCCTGAAAATTCAAGGTGCTCATTCCTCTGGCATAGCAAGTACATGCATTCAACCCCCGGGAATGTGCTCTCTTGTGATAGAGAATCCAGGTCTCTCCCAGAATGAGTCCCAGGCCACTCCTTTCCGCCCGGAGCTAGAGCGGGCGCCCGCTACCCAGTAACCCCTCACCGACGTGAAGACTTCGGTGGTCTGCTGGATGGTGGCGATCTTCTTCCAGCCCCACTTCTCAAAAAGTTTCACACGGGTAGGATTGTGCAAGGTGGCTGACGGGTGAGTTCGAAAGAACGTAGGAAAGCGCTGCCGGTTCGACAGGGCTGGTGAGCTGGAGCCATAGGAAAGCTACGAGGGACAGAAATAGGGCGACAGGGACATCATTCGACAGGGACGTCATCCATGGGCTCCGCCAACAGCTGCCCAGAGCGTCTCCAACCCTGCCCACTCTCCAAGCACCTCTGCCTCCGCCCTAGGAACGCCATGGTCAAAGGCCTGCACACCTTCACCGTCTGACACCAGCGCCTTCTAGTGGCTGTGGAGGGTCGGGCCTGGTGCTAGGAGGCCGATTAGTTCAGGTCTGCAAAGGGCTCTGAATCTTGGAAGCCATCCTCTCAAATACACCCAAAAAGTGGCTGGCCTTCTGACCTGACCCCACTCACCACAATGAGATTCCACATCCTGGCGGCCTCTGCCACCAGCGTGGAGACGGAGCTGCAGCCCGGCATGAGGATGATCTTGATGGGGTCGTTGTAGAGCAGTTCATACAGGTACTTGGTGGCCTGGCCTGGGTCACACTAAATGGGGGGAGACCGTGAGGGTTGGCTCCCCTAGCATCCCCCATCCCTGTAACTCCTACTCCATTTCTCCCCAAAACCAAGTTACTTCCCCCAACTACCCACCCCTCTGCTGAAACCCTTTTGTCATTATTGCCATTTCTTCTCCCTCTGAGCGTAGTCTCCTATCTTCTCGGTTTCCCTCACCAGTTACATAGCTGCCTTCCAGCGGCTGCTTACCCACACCCTCTCCTCCACCTGCAGTACCATGTCCATACCCCTTCCCTCCTCCAGCTCACCCAGACCCTGGCCACCTTCCCTCCAGCACTCCTGCTTCCTACCACGTTTCTACGCTCCAAACATCTATGGGTAGAAGAGTCCGAAGGAATATGAATAAACTCTCCCCGTGTCCGAGGCGGCCTCCTCAAAGCCACTTTATGAAAATCCCTCCCTCACATCTGCAGACTCCCTCTCTCCCCCTTCCCTTTTCCTCCCCCTTCTCTTCCCTGGGCTAGTGACACAGAGCAGAAGCAGGCGCACGGGGCCAGCTCAGCATCCAGCCTCCTGCTGGGCCTGACCTTTCATGGGTCCATTGGAAAAAGAGACACTCGGGGCAGCCACGGGGGGAGAAACGAAGAGGAGGAAGAACTGGGGAGAATAAATAGAATGTCTCTCAAGCAACGAGATGACTTTTAGGGGTGCCTGAGGAGGGGCATGGGGATGGGGAAGTAAGCATGCAGAAAACCTGAAAAGAAAAGAACGGGGTGGGGGGGTGGCGGCGGGAAGAAGGCCGTGGCCTCTCTGCCCACTGCCTCCTGCTGACAGATGACCTTTCAAAAGCTGCTGGAGCCCCAGGGAAGCCAGTGGGGAGGCAGGCCAGAGGGACACAGACTGGAGGCTCAGGGGAAAGAGGAGGGTGAAGTGGGGAGCAAGGTGCGAGGAAATAAAGGCCCCCTAAAGCTTGCTCACTCCCCACTGAGGCCTGACCTCGGGGACACTGTGGGAGCTGCAGGGCAGGGGGGGCTGGCAGAGTCTGAAGCGCCACCTGCCCCCACACCAAGGGCAGTGCTCAGTGTCCACTCAGTGGCTGATTTTTGAAGCAGCTTCTTCCCTCCCACTGGGTCTCCCAGGAGCTGTCACTCCTGCCCCTGCCCCAGCTTCCCCAAAGCTCCTCCATGCCCCGCCCCGTCTGAAGGAAGGGTGGTTAGGAACGAGGACATATAACACGGAAGATACATACAAAGAGGGCGACGCCCGCTCCTCAATGTCTCTTCCTTGGTGCCCACATCCCTCCCTGCTGCTTCTCACACCCTCTCCCTTCCACACCCAAAGCAGCCGCAGGCTTCCTCCCAGCACACCTCCCAGCTCCTCTCCTCTGCTCTCGCCAGGACCCAGATACACCCGTGTGTCTGCCTGTCCATCTCCCCCTGCTGCCTCTGCTACTTTCTCCTCACCTCCCTTCTCTCAGGTCTCCCCACCTCCAGGGCCTCAGCTGGTCTGGTGGATGCATCTGCACTCCCCGTGCGCCCCACCATAAAGCCCACACCCACCCTCCCTGGGCTCCCACCGCCCAGAGCAAAGTGCTTCTCTCGTTCTCCGAAGCTGGGCCTTCCCATCAGCTGGCCCTCTTCCCGCCCTGCGGCTCCCAGTCCAACACGCACTCTCTCTGGGCCCTGTTGCTCTTCCCACGCACCGGGCTTCGCTGCACAGGCCCCCCAAGGGCAGGATTTCCTGGTAAAAATGCAGGTCCTTGGGTTCATCCCTAACCCAGGCGTTAGGCTGCACACTGAGCCGCGCCCTGGGGTGACCCTTACGGATCCTGAGGTTGGAGGGTCACTGCCAGAGGACCTCAGGTTCTAGCTCCAAGCTCCGGACAGCCCTTGCGCTCTCCCCACTCTGCCCTCGCTCACTTACCAGTGCCTGGGTGTAGATTATGGCAGGAACACCCCAGGGCGCGGTCGCCAACCCTCCCCTCTGGGCTCTGTCTCACTCCCGGGGCCACAGCCGTGGAGTCTCTGAGGGCCACCCCTACCACACCTGGACCCAGATTTCCTTCCCTTCCCTGCTCCCTCTCCTCACCTCTTACCCCACACCCCCTCTGCGGCTCACATCTTAGAGCCACATGCTGTGAAGCCGTGAAGACTGGCTCCAGACCCAAGCTCCCAGGACGTGCCAGCTCTCCCTGCCCCGCCTCCTC